CCGCTGTGGGGCCTTTCCATCCACAGCTGCTTCAGAGCCAGCGAGGAGGAGCCGCAGCTGCCTGGGAGACCGCCCCCCTGCGGCCCGCCCCCCAAGTCCAGCCTCTGTAACGGATGCAAGCCCGTGCCCACGCTTCCCCGTGCTGGCGGCCCAGGCGGCACCCAGAGGTTCTCGGTGCGTGGAGGACTCAGCTCCAGCCAGCAGGGCCTCTCTGTGACCAAGTCCACCTAATCCGTCTGATTGATTTAACTCAGAGGCTCAAGGGTTCCCAGGGGTGGGGATGGGGCGGGGCAGCACGGGAGAAACCAAGGCGAAGTGGCAGCATCTGGGTTCTCTGTGTTCCTCCTCTCGGGCCAGTGGGACCTGGACACCAGACACAGGCCAGCCTGCTGTCTCCCGAGGAGCTCTGAGGGCTCCGAGGGTGAGCAGAGAAACCAGCCTGGCCGGGAGGGGCCCAGGAAGGCTCGCCAGGGGAGGACTTTACCCTGCGGCCCCTGATTCTCTATCATCATCGTCATGACATCATCGTCAATAATTAGCAATAATAATGGTAGTCCTTCATGTGCCCTCTACAGGTTCCAGATTCCTCTGAAAGTCATTATTTCACTCTGTTCTCAACGCAGTCCAGTGAGGAATGCAAGGATGTTTCACTATCCTCATTTTTCCCTCTGAGACAGTGGAGGTCCAGAGAGGGGAGGCAGCGTGTCCAAAGCCGCGCAGCCAGGGTGGAGACAGACCTCAGCATCCAGATGTCAGGCCCCCCAGGGAAGGACTCTGCACCAGACCAGAGCTGCCCCTGGGGCCCTGCAGACCCCCTCCCGGTGTGTCCTCCCTCCCCACCCCTCTCCAGGAGTGAGCGAGGCTCACGCGTTGTGTGGCCTCTTTAGAGTTACTGAGCCTCTGGGCTCCACGTCCCTGTCTGTAAAGGAGCCAGCAGTGCCTGCTTCATAGGTCTGCATGAGGCTGGCACGCGGATGAAGGAGACAGACCTAACAGGGGAGGGGGCTTCTTCCCCTGGGATGGGCCAAGAAGGGGTGGGAGGTCCCTCCCAGGGCCTGAAGTCACAGGCCCCAGCCCCGCTCTCTAGAGCTCTCTCTGCATCTCCCGGCCTTGCTCTCCCCACTCAGCATCCAGAAGGTTGTTATGACAACCACCAGCATCCGGTGCGATCCCTCCATGCGTTCCTCTTTTTTAAAGTGGCTGTATTTTTGTTTCTTTTATTTTTATTTACTTATTTTGGCCGTGTGGGATCTTAGTTCCCTGACCAAGGATTGAACCCTGCAGGGGAAGCATGGAGTCCTAGCCTCTGGGCCTCCAGGGAAGCCCCCAGATCTTCTCAGTCAACAGAGACCTGCAGGGGCCTGCTCTACCTTTCCCAGTCCAGGTCTCCACCCGGTGTCTCTGAGCCTGTGGAGTTCCCAGATCTGTGCTGCATAAGGGGCAGGAAGGACAGGGAGACGAAGGAAAATAAACACAGAATTCCATAAGGCTCCTAGAAAGCCTGAAGTCATTTGGATGGCAAGGCTCTGAGGCTGGGCAAGGTCTGGCATCAGAAGCACCTTGAACTTATCCCCTGTAGGTCATTTGCTGATTGCAAGCATGACTTTGATTCCAGCCTGCCCTATTATTAAGGAATATTCTACTTGGTACAAAAGTATCTTTAAAAACCAAATTCAAGGAAACTGATCTTCTTCTAAAGGGAATACACATATCACGTCCTATAAATAGGTGCACGCAGGCAAAGTCGCTTCAATCCTGTCCGACTCTTTGCGACCCCATGGACCATAGGCCTCCAGGCTCCTCTGTCCATGGGATTCTCCAGGCAAGAACACTGGGACGGGTCACCATGTCCTCCTCCAGGGGATCTTCCTGACCCAGGGATGGAACCTGCATCTCTTGTGTCTCCTGCAGTGGCAGGCAGGTTGTTTACCACTAGTGCCCCCTGGGAAGCCCATAAACAGCTGAGACCCATACAAACGACTGTCCTAAAAACAGACAAGGTCATTAAATTCTACCGGAGACTAGTGTGGGCAGAAAGAGCTTGAATTCCGTCCTCTCCTTGTTAAAAAGAGAGACAAATGGTGCTAAAAACATGCTGTCATTTTGGGTGGCCACCAGCCCCGTGTGGTGATGTAAGTTTGCAGGAAAATGAGATAACATGAAAAACTCAGATCTTCAGTTGCGCTAGACACATTTCAAGTGCTCAGAACCACAGGTGGCCAATACGACCACATGGAATGGCGCAGACCTGGAACATTTCCATCATCACAGCGAAGTTGTGTTGGACAGCACTGCTCTAAACTGCACTAAGACTTAGTCAAGCTGGGGGTTCTCCCAGGACGGGGCAGTGCCTCCTCCATCAGGCTGGGGCCCTCATCTCCTCCCCAGTCTGACTTCGCAGCTCTGAGTTCAATCTCCGCTGGTAGGCGTTGCCCCGGGCAACCCTGCTCCTCATCTCAGCTCCGAGCCCAAGGTCCCCACTGGAGGACAGAGCTGGTTGTCCCATTCCCTGTCCGCGGCGGGCCTCCCTTCCTGCCAGCCTCTGCTTCTTCCTTCTGAGGCCCCAAGGGCCCTCTCTCCTTGTCAATGTCAGAAAACTGAAGCTATGCAGTGAGTTTCAGGAAATGAATCCTTGGGATTAGTTGTATTTGGCTCTGAGCCTCAGCCATGCTGGGGAAAGCACCCCAGATGCCAGCCGTGCCCATCGCGATGCCCTCTCGGTGATGGGGAGCTGGGCCGCTGGGAGAGGGGGAGCTGGACCCAGCCCAGGTCCCTGCCGTTAGCGGTGAGACAGGCAGCGGTGAAGGCAGGTCCCGCTTGCCGTTGGTTCCCTGCTGTGTGGCGTCATCATCAGTGGCCAGTGAAAAGCGGGATGACTTCCCAATGGCCATGTTAGCTAAGTCCCTTCAGTCCTGTCCGACTCTTCGCGACTCCCTGGACTCTAGCCCGCCAGGCTCCTCAGTCCATGGGTTCTCCAGGCAAGAATACTGGAGTGGGGTGCCATTTCCTCCTCCAGGGGATCTTCCCGACCCGGGATCGAACCGGAGTCTCTCATGCCTCCTGCATTGGCAGGCGGGTTCTTTACCACTAGCGCCCCCTGGGAAGCTGGCCGTGTCAGCAGGATGGAGGAGAGGTGGTCTGGGGAAAGGGGGCTTTGCCGGAGACCTGCCGGCCGTGGGTGCCGCCCCACGATAGCATCGCCCACCGTGCGCTATGATGCGCCAGACCTTTGCACACACTCTTCCCCTGGCCTGGAAGGCCTGTTCCTTCACCCTCACTTGGCATCTAAGAGGCTACATTAGGTGTGTTGTTGTTTTCAGGGTTGGGAGAAGGTTTTCCCTTGTGGGAGGAGCCTCGACCTATTCGTGTCACCAACCTTTGAAGCCATTGGGTAGGGACGGGACGGGAACAGGAGAGCAGGGGCTGAGTGTGGCCGTGGACACTCACGCAGACGGGCGCTTCAGTTACTTCTCCGTGACTCAGTTCCTCCCGTCTGTGGTGCAGGCACATGAACCCTGAGGCTCTGAGGCTCGGCTCTGGTGAGCTCCCCGCACGCGGCTGATGCACGAAGTCCGTGCGTGGTGCAGAGCTGGCGCGGCGTCAGTACTCCGCACAGCGAAGGAGAAAACAGAACACTTCCAGGAACACCGAAGGCGGCCGTGGAAAAGGAGGGGAGAGGAAAGGGACGCGAGGCGTGGCGAGGAGGGCGCTGGTCTCTGCCTGCTTTCTCTCTTCCCGTCCTTGGTCTCCCCTTCTCACTGCTCCCTCTAGGCCCCCCCAGGACCCCTGAGGGTGCGGTTTCAGAGCCCCAGCGAGCCCCTCGCCAGCATTCCTTCTGCCAGATCAGGGATGGGCAAGAGGCCCAAGCTTTGTGGGCAGAGAATCAGTTCAGTCCCCAAGGTGTGTTCAGCCCTGCCTGTTGAAGAGCTTGATCTAGCCCTTCCTGCAGCCTTCCTCACCCAGACGGAGAACAGGAGAAGATGCTTGGCCTGACAGCCCATCCAGAGTCAGGAAGTGAGCCAGCCCCAGACCCCCGAGCTCTCTCTGCAAAGGACGCGTAGGCCTTCCCCCACCCCTAGGCTCCGGGGTGGAAATTACTGGGGATGATGGGGTGGAAATCATGGTCACGGCCAAGGTCATCACGTGAGGTCGCCCCCGCCGGCCTGGAAGGTCACTCCGTGACCCTGGAACATCCCAGGAAGGGCGGGGGTGTGCAGGTCACACAGCCTAAACCTTTCATAGAGAAAAATGGGGAAACCGAGACCCACGGTCAGAGTTCAGGGCATTTGGGAGAGAACCAGGCTGGAATCCGAGCTCCCTGACTGCCAGCCCTGGGCACAAGCATTTGCCCCCTTTCTCAGTCCTTCCCTTTCTTCCGGCTTCTTTTTGTACTTAGTTTCTGCGCTGTTTTCCCAAAATGCAATAGTGTCATTGTCTAAATGATCATCATCTAAAAGACATTAAACTATAAACAAATTTCAAAAAGAAAACAAAAGTTCTGTCACCCTGAAGATTCGCATTTGTTTATCTGTTGAGTGTAGTGTTCCATAATGTGTGACGCGTGCTTTCTCCAAAAGTGGGTTTCGTCTCTGCACGTGGGTTTGTTCCTTGCCTTCTTCTTAAAGTCACGTTGATTGAGGTATGGTGAATATATGGGGAAAGTTCTCCCGATTGGAGAATTCTGTTATAGGAATTTTGACAAATGTGCTTCATCTTGAAACCACGCCTTGAAGACCTCTATGTCATGGGCATCCTTTCACGTCAGTGGTAATAACCTAAATGCCCAGCTACAGGGTTTTGTTTTTATGTGGCTGGACCATAAAGTACTCACCCAGTGCCGTGGGGGGGCAGGGAGGTCGCGCCCCGGCCTCCCTCTGATACACAGCGTGTGAGGGGCGTCCCTCCAGTGCTGAGAGGGCCGTGGGGGCCCGAAGGTGGGCACGCAGCTCCCGTCCGTCTCACCGGCCCGCGCCCTCTCCGGCCCTCTCACTTGGCCATAGGGAACCGTCTGGACGAGGGCTCCGACGTGGAGTCAGAACCCGACCTCCCTCTGAAGCGTAAGCAGCGCCGCAGTCGGACCACGTTCACGGCGGAGCAGCTGGAGGAGCTGGAGAAGGCCTTCGAGAGGACCCACTACCCAGACATCTACACCCGCGAGGAGCTGGCGCAGCGGACCAAGCTGACCGAGGCGCGGGTGCAGGTGAGCGCGCCGCGGGGCTCTGCACTGCGGGCGGCCTCTGGGGGGGCCTCCCCGGCGGCTCTGCGGGAAAGAACCCACCCCAGCCAGCAGCTGCAGGAGACGCGGGTCATCCCTGGCTGGGGGAGACCCCCTGGAGGAGGCCGTGGCAGCCCACTCCAGTGTTCTTGCCTGGAGAAGCCCCTGGACAGAGGGGCCTGGCGGGCTGCAGTCCGTGGGGTCGCAAAGAGTCGGACACGACCGAAGCGACTGAGCACGCACCACAGCACACACGTCATCTGGAGAGCGATTGGGAGAAGGGGTGGCCAGGGTCTGGGGGCTAGGGGGTCCCCCCGGAGTGGGAGTGGGGAATTTGCAGCAAGTGGTCCAGGGGCTGTGTAGACATGTAATGCCCCTAGCACTTGGTACAGAGTAAATGGGCAGCAGACGTTAGTTGATGGACTAACCAGTCCTCGGACAGCCCCAGGGATGCCAGGAGGGGCCGTGAGGACTTGGGCTGCCTCCCTCCCCTGCCAACAAGAACTTCAGGAAGATGACGGGAGGAGGGGTGGAGGGAGAGACAGAAAGGGAGAGGAGGAAAGGGCAAGGGACGGAGGGAAGGACACTAGTTCAGCCACAAGAGAGGGAGCTCAGGAAATAGAAAAACTTCCCAATCTCTGAGGAGGGGAGGAAAGTTTCAGGGCAAAAACTGTCCAGAACAGACCTAGCTTCCTAGGATGGGTAATGAGTTTCCTGTCATGGGAAGCATGCAAGCCGCCTGGGCGCATATTCCTGGCCAGTTAGAAGCATCCGGGGAAGGGTGAGCAGACTTTGAACACCCTCTGGACATCCACAGCCGCAAAGTGCGTGGTGCCTGGTCGGTGGGCCTGGGGAAGGTGAGGCACAGAAAGAGCCGTGTCTGTCTGGGGTTCGAGGACTGCCTTGGGGATGGGGGAAGGACCGGCCTCCTCTCCCGGAGAGTTCTCAGATTGCACGATGTCTGTAGTTCTCTAAGTCAGAGTCTCTGGGGGCCTGGCTGGGGCGGGGCGGGGGGTGGGGAGGGACGGAGGAGGAATGGGGGGCTGATGAACAGCTCCTGTGGGAGCCTGTCTTGGCCTGGCCCCTCTGTGAATGGGGCGCTGAGTCTGCCGAGGGGTTGCCCCAGCTGCTCACTGGGCGCTCTTCTATCCTATCTGAGAGGGATCAGCTTCTGTTGGGCATCTCTGCTGGGGGGCTCCTCCCACGTGACCCCAGGCAACCTCAGACCCCCTTGTCAGGCCAGGATGGTCACTCATCACAGGCACAGAATCTGAGAAGTGATACGGCATTGGGGATGTGTGTACAGAGATTGATGGAGGCTGAGCTGCGCCTGGCGCTCAGCCTGTGGATGCCAAGCCCAGGTTCTTTCCATCTGGAAAGGAGAAAAGCACTCAGAGCCGAGCCTGGCATTTGAGAGCAGTAAAGTGCTAGAAGCAAACGAGCATTTGAGTGCTCCGGGGACCAGCATACCTCCCTCTGCCCACCCCACCCCTCCTGGAGTGGGGGGGCCCTGGGCTGAACGGAGGGAGACCCGGGGAGGCGCGGATGGGCGGCTGCAACCAGCTCAGCCCGTCCCAGCCCCCTCCCCTCGGGGTGACACCCGAGCTGCCGGGCCCAGTCTTCCCTCCTCCGCCTCTGATCCCCCTGCAGCTGTTCTCCTGGGCACATTCCTGGGCGCTTTCTCATTCCCACGTCTGGCGGCCTCGGCTGCTTCCCACCACCTTGAGGCCTGACCGCTCCTTGTAAAACGTCCTGGCTGTCAGGGCTGTGCTTTTATTGGCCCAGGGGACTCAGAAACAGGTGTCACTCAAGGTCCAAGGGTGAAGGGGGGCTGAGAACAGGGGGGAGAAGCCAGAGCCCAGGCACATCCCCGGCGAGGGGGCCCAGGCAGCCGTCCTCCGCATGCTGCTCCCCTCGCAGACCCTCAGTGCTTCCAGGGCGGGGCTGGCCCTCCCCGACTCATGGCCTGAGAACTTGGCCTGATCCCAGCAAAGAAGGGATCGATACATTTTGAGTTTTAAAGAATGAACAAAGGCTGACCGCCCCCCCCCGCCCCCCATCAAGACAGGAATAATAGAGCATTTGGCCTGGAGAAGAGAAGGCTTGGAGGACATGGCTGCTCTGAGAGGCCCTGGAGCGGGGCTGGGGAGGGGGGACCAGGACCAACCGGAAAATGTCCCAAGTCCCACATGAAAGGACAGAAACACACGACCAGGGGCCCCAGGCTGGGTTCCCATTGGTTTCTGCCTCTGATCAGCTGTATCACCCTCAACAGATTCGGTTTCCTTTCCTGAGACTTAATCTCTCATCTATAAATAAAGGGACCAAGCTAAATGAGCATGAAGGCTCCTTAAAGTTCTAGGATCCTGACTTACTGACAGAGCCGCCTTTGGAGGTGATGAGATCCCCGTCAGCAGGAGTGTTCGAGCCAAAGTGCGGTGTCCGGGGGCTGGGAGAGCCCGGTGAGCGGGCGGCGGGGGCCTGAAGCCCCCTGAGCACCGCGTGGATTTCAGGGCTGGATGCTGTTGAGGTCTTGGGCTCTGATTTGAGAGCCTGTGGCTCAAGGATCTGACAGTCCTGTGTCGTCTCGTTTCAGTGGCACTGGGAGGTGCCAGAGTGGTTCAGACGCCTCGGTGGGAATCCCAGCTCCACCACTTACCCCCACAGCCCTTGGTTTCCTTCTCTGCAAAACGGAGATGCTGATAACAGGGTCCACTTCGTCCCGAGGGCTAAATGCAACGTGTAAACAGACCCACACACAGACTCAGGAAGTGCCCTGAGCAGCGGCTGTGATTGTTAAAGTTCACCTGTTCTTAGCGGCTCCATTTCTGGCCACCCTCGAAACCCCAGGCTTATTCATCTAGCAGTCATATTGGGCACCTCCTATTCTAGGCGCCAGGGACTCGGCAGACAGAAATCCCTGCTGAATACAGGGCTGGCGTCCAAATCAGCTCGGAAGCCGGTAGGCACAGGTCGGGGCTCCGTCAAGCGTGTATCACCCCTTCTGCCTCCCCTCCAGCCCTGCCCCCCAGCAGAGGGTCAGGAGCCTCCCTCAGAAGCCTGCGGGGCATTATGTGGGGTTGTATGGTACGCCCAATGTCTGGCGGAGATGCCCATCTCCGTCCGCAGGAAGCCCTGCACCGTGAAGGGTGGGAAAGGAGCGTGAGGCAGGAGGACATGTGGCTGGGGACCAGTGTCTCCTTTCCCCGGAGGAGTCTTCATTTCTAAACAGCTGGGGGCCCGACCCCCACCTCACAGACATCTTCCTTGCAGGTAAACAAATCTGTTTCTTCCTGAGCTCCAAGATCCCGAAGTCTGCATGTTTCTTCTAGAAACAGAGGCTGAGAGCTGATAGGCCCCAAGGCCAGCCCAGTTGTCTCCCACAAGGCCTGGGAGAACATCCCGCCCTCCAGATGAATGGCATCCAGGGACCAGGCCCGCGTGCAGCTCATCTGGTCCCAGTTTGGAGCCCTGCTATTTGCTTGGGGACGGGCGGGAGCTCTGAACAGAATCCCTTTTGGGGGCACTAGCGGGACTCGCTAATGAATAACTTCAGCTGAATCTTTTCGTTACACTGGATGACATTCATGATGCCTTCCTCGTGTGCCAGGCACACCACTCAACGCCCTACATGTGTTATCTTCCTCATCCGTACCGTGATCCTAAGAGGCAGGGACAGTCAGTCTCTCCATTTTATGGATGAGAAACCTGACCTTTCCCTAGCAGAGGCAACTTCCTAAAGACACAGTTAATAAGTGGCTGTCCTGGGACCTAAGACCGAGTCTGTCTGTCATGCTCTTCTCCTCGGGGCTCTATTGGAAGAAGGGCTGGATGAAACGTTCAACTCGGTCATCAGACACTTCCTACAGTGTCCTGCTCCCAGGCAAGATGTGGAGAGAAGGACCAAAAATGAGTAATAAAACTCAGGCTCTGTTTTCAAAGGACTCAACCCTGATCATAGATTCTGGGTGGATCTGGGTCCACCACCCTCCCTCCGGGAGCTTCCGTTTCTCCATCTGTAAATAGGAAACTTGCAGTCCGTACTGGCTAAGAGCCCTTCCAGTTCAGACGTCAGAGGCTTTCCAGCAAAATAAGCGTTGGAGATGCTGTTCTAAATAGGCACGTGGCCTTGTTAACTCCTTTGAGGTCCAGAACCACCTAGAAGGTAGGGGCTGCCGTTTGTGCATGTCCTAGGTCCTCAGTCGTGTCTGACTCTTTCCGACCCCATGGACTGTAGCCTGCCAGGCTCCTCTGTCCATGGGGATTCTCCAGAAAAGAATACTGGAGTGGGTTGTTGTGCCTTCCTCCAGGAGGTCTTCCCAACCCAGGGATCAAACCCAGGTCTCCTGCGGCTCCTGCATTGGCAGAAGGAGTCTTTAAAACTGAGCCTATTAGCAACAAAGAAAGTGAGGCTCAGAGGAATAACAGAATTTGCCCATCTTAGCTAAGAGTCAGAGGCAGGATTCAAACTCAGGCAACTGATCAGACTCCAGAGCCCCACTCTTGTGTCCTGTTACACTTTGTGAAGATGGAGATGCCTGCTGGGTTGGGAGCAACCCCGTGGAAATAGGACAGTGAGGAAGAAGAGGAGAGAGAGAGAGAAAGCAAAAGGCATGTCCTCTCCTCCAGGAAGTCCTCCTAGATTCTGGGAGGAGTTGGAATCCCCTCCTCAGACCTCCTCATGGCACCTCGCATGCCAGCCCATCTAAGCTGACTGTACTGAAGAGCAGCTGTCCTTTGACTTGTCTGTCATGTGGCCAGGCCAAGGGCAGCTTGAGACTAGGACCGTGTCCTGCTCACCCTCTGTCCTTGCTGTCTTGCGTGATGCAGAGCAGAGTCCCAGGAGCTGCTGGAGATGGGAAGGAGGGAAGTAAGGAAAGCAGGAGCGAGGCGGCCAAGGAGAGAAGGCGGGAGAACGTTTCTGCCTTAGCTGAGTCCTCTTTATCTGCAGATGACCCTCGCTGAACAAACAAAACCAGAGCAGAGTGTCCCAAACATAAATCATTCTCCACCATCTTCAGGATTTGGGCCACTTTTGCATATCCATATCTTCATTTACTTAAAAAAAAATAAAATCAGTGTATTTTAAAACAAACATGCATATCACTCTCAGGGGCCTCCCAGGTGGCACAGTGGCAAAGAATCCACTTGCCAATGCAGGAGATGTGGGTTCGATCCCTGGGTCAGGAAGATCCCCCGGAGAAGGGCACGGCAACCCCACTTCAGTATCCTTGCTTGGAGAATCCCGTGGACAGAGGAGCCTGCGGGCTACAGTCCATGGGGTCACAAAGAACCAGACAGGACTGAGCAACTGAGCACACACGCACACATCGCTCTCATGGAATGAAGGCAGCTGGAAACACACACACAGGGAACACGAGACGACGTGGGAAGGGTTTTCAGGAAAGCATCACCAGCCAGGGCGTCCTCCCTGGGCTTTAAAAACGGAGGTTGATGAATGTTGCTCAGTCGTGCCTGACTCTTTGCGACTCCATGGACTATACAGTCCATGCAATTCTCCAGGCCAGAATACTGGAGTGGTAGCCTTTCCCTTCTCCGGGGGATCTTCTCAACTCCGGAATCGACCTGGGGTCTCCTGCGTTGCAGGCGGGTTCTTTACCAGCTGAGCCACCAGGAAGGCCCTGATGAGTGTTAGGAAGGTGTGAAGGACGTTGAGCCCCCAGTTGAGAAGGTCTCTTCCACGCACCCCAGGCCCGGAAGAGATGGGAGTGGTTCGAGGTTATCTAACGTCCGTGTCACTCGCCTCCCGCCTCCGGGGTGGTCTTTCCACCTCGGAGTGCAGGAGCCCCGCCCTTTGAAAAGTGCTGACTTAAAACAGTTCACAGGCAGCTTTAGGTAGACGGGTGTTCATCCACCCTGGACGCTCCTGGGGAAGCCCTCGCTGCCCTGGGGAGGTGGGAGCAGCCAGCACCGTCGTTTTATGCAGAAGCCAGTTTATCTTTATTTGGCCAACGCGTCTCCCTTCTCTGTGAACCCTAAACAGGTCAGAGCCAGCAGCTCTGTTCATCCAGCTCGGAAAACCGAATTCCGTTTCTACCCTCAGAGAAAAGACATGTTATGAGGGGACACGAACACCCCTCCACCCCTTTTCAGACTCCCCCTCCCGCAGGTCAGCAGACGCGGACCAGAGGTTTGGGGGTCTCGAGTGATCTGTGCCAGGGGAGGCCTAGGTCTTCACCCGTGAAGAGGACGACTCCCCACTGGGCCTTGGGGGGGTGGGCAGCACCAGCAGAGACACACCAGAGTCGCCTCTGCCTTCCATCCATTCATTCCTTCAACCAGGACCCCCGTAGAGGGGTGAGCAGGGGGCCAGGAGTGGTTGGCCTCTGCCTGTGGGGCTTAGGGTCAGATGGGAGACGGAAAAACAGATATAGACAATGATTGTTTGAGTGAGGGAGCTCACAGCTGGAGGCCTCCTGAGAAAAGGGGGAGGAGATTGGCCTAAAGTAGTTTTGAGGCAGGCAGTCCTCGGGGGAACAGGAGGAGGCGTTTCTGCAAGCCCTGCAGGCCAAGGAGCCAGCACTGGGAAGAGTGTCTGAGTTGGAGGGAACAGCATGTGCAAAGTCCAAAGGTGGAGAAGCACCTTCTCTCAGAAGCCCCGTTTTGCACACTCATTCTCATATTTCTCTGGCCCATTTCAGGGAACTTGCTGCAAATCCAGGCAAGAGGGTTCTAGAAAGTCAGACTGACTGAACTTTGAACCTCACATCCATTACAGACTAGCCATGTGGCCATGGGCAAGTGATTTCACCTCTGTGAGCCTCAGTTTCCCCCTGGGTCAGTGGGACTAGGAGGGCAGGCCTCTGGGCCTGTGTATGGACAGACATAGGAAGTGCTAGCACAGGGCTCGGAGGAAAGGGAGACTCAGAGATGTTAGATTATCAATCCATCCCTGTGTTTGGGGTGGGAGTCGGGGGGTGGGCTTTCCTAACGCAGGGGGCCTGTGCAGTGTAAGCCAAGCAGGGCCTCAGACCCCAGACACAGAGCTAGCTTTCGTATCTGAGTCTGGCAGGTGGGTCTCATTCAGGTGGGTTCTGGATGTGTGGCCTCCTCCTTGGGGGCTTCCTGGAGGAGACGAGGCGTGTGCAATGTGGGTGAACAAGGATGGTCACCCACTGACTTCCTTCAGGGCAGGAGCAGCTGCAGGGAAAGAGCGCTGGGCTGAGAGTCACTCGGGGCCACCCTGTCTTGCGGGCAAGCCCCCCACCCTCTCTGGGGCTCAGTCTACCCATCTGTAAAATGGGGATCATAATGACTCCCTCCCTGGGTGGTCATGAGGCTAGAATGGGACCCTGCCCATGAACGTGCTTTGCAAACTGTCCTGAGCTGCAGGAAGGTGGGGCTCTCCCTCGGAGGACACTGGCTGGGCGCAGGGGCCGGGTTCTAGCTGTGCCTCAGCGCCCTGCCGGAAACCAGGCTGAGGGCTCCACGCTCGGCTCTCTGTCCCCCAGGTCTGGTTCAGTAACCGCCGTGCCCGCTGGCGTAAGCAGGCAGGAGCCAACCAGCTGGCAGCGTTCAACCACCTCCTGCCAGGTGGCTTCCCGCCCACTGGCATGCCCACGCTGCCCCCCTACCAGCTACCGGACTCCACCTATCCCACTACTACCATCTCCCAAGGTGAGTGACAGCTGCATCCCGCATCTCGGCCCCGCCCCCTCCACCCCCCCCCACATCTCCCCTGCGCACCCCCCCCGCCCCCACCCACTCCCCTCCTCAACAAAGAAGGGATAAAAAGCGTTTTCTTTGGCGGGAGGAGGGGAGAGAGGTTATTTGTTTTTCTTGCTTTTTCATGACCATTTGTCTGCTTTGATGTGGACAGTCAAGATAAAAGAGACAGTGTCCTGCTGTAGAACCTCTTCCTTCCGCATCCAGGTGAAGATAAGCAAGGTCGCCTACATGCACACGTTTAACAGAGCTTCTCAGACTTTAAAGTCACATGAATCTCTTGGGTCTTACTCAATTTCAGAAGAGATGGTGGTGCGCCCTGTAGGTAGAGGAGGGTAGCCCCCCACCCCTCCTCCCTGGTCCCTGCCCCCGGGTCTGCCCTCCCTGCTCCCAGGACGGGCAGGCTGGCGTTCTAGAAGCTGGGGAGAGAGGCCTCTTTGTGATTCTAGATGAGAATCGGAACCATCGCCCATGGTGGTGGTCCCGTCTGCTGGAAGACCACGTGGGAGGCTGTGACAGAGAAGAGCAGCCCATCGGCTGGGAACAGGGTGGCCATTCAAACCCTGGCCCCCTGCTCCCTAGCCGCATCACCTTGCTCAAGGGCAGGCCCTGTTCCTGTTGAGCCTCAGTTTCTTCATCTGTAAAATGGGAATCATTCTGGCTTCATACCCTTAGATGGGATTTGTGAAAGCACTGGTGATTTGGGTGCTCACCAGATGTTACCCAAGAGCCCCGAGCAGACTGACAGAGTCCTCAGTGAGATCTGACTTTTAGCCCAGATAAGGTTTATTGAGCACCTACTATGTGCCAATCACTGAGAACAGGGCCTGTGCACAGTAGGTGCCTAGACGTTGTCTGGAATGTTGATCGGTTATCAGTCGAGGCCTGCCAATTGCTGATGTCCTGCTCAGAAGCCGGTGTCCCATCGCCAGTAGTGAGAGAAGGCAGCCCCCTCCCCCCACTCTGCCGGATGGAGGTCGGGAGGAGGGGGCTGGGGCCCTGCCTTCCAGACGGGAGGTGCCTGCCCTGCTTGCCCTCCGGGGCCAGGCCGCTGGCTGAGGCCCTCGGCTGGCTCTCTCTGCAGACGGGGGCAGCACCGTGCACCGACCCCAGCCGCTCCCGCCGTCCACCATGCACCAGGGGGGCCTGGCCGCAGCGGCCGCGGCCGCGGACACCAGCTCTGCCTACGGAGCCCGCCACGGCTTCTCCAGCTATTCCGACAGCTTCATGAGCCCGGCGGCCGCCTCCAACCACATGAACCCCGTCAGCAACGGCCTGTCGCCTCAGGTAGGGGGCCCCGCCTTGCTGTCTAGGGTCCCAGGGGCCAGAGGCTTGCCAGCCCGTCCAGCGAGGGTTCTGGGGGGACACAGGTGGCTCTCCCTTGGGGAAGAAGTCTCTGGTTTCCGCCACGTCGCTCACTGTTGGTCAACTCAAGAGGGTTTACGTGGGAGGCGGGGTGGGGGGTTATGCTCCCACCGTCACTTGCCATTGTTCTGTGAGCCTTTCACTCTGGGTTTGTCATCTGCAAGTCGCAGACATCAGTGACCCAGTAAGCAGTTGCAGAGAAAGGGTTTCCATCACAGGTTTCCATACTTCTCACCACCCAGAGCTTGTTAAACTGGCCCATCACCTGCTTCATGACTGTCCAGACCATAAAAGTCAGGCATTTTCAGTGCACTGATGGAAGCCTTGCACTATTTCCTAGGGGATGTGAACTGCGGTTGGGGCTTTGTTCTAGAAGCAGTAGTCCTTCTTACACCTCATCCTGGGCTCCATCTCCCACCTTTGGTCACCAGGAATGACCACAGGGTGAAAGGCAAGACCATGTCCTACTGGTGGAGAGAATCAATTGGGCAGGGATGTGGGGCAGAGGGATGGTTCTAGCCCAGGAACTCTGCTCCCATTGGGTCTTGGAACTCTGTTCCCTCACGTGTGATTGGCTGCTGATTAAGTCACTCCATGCCTGATGGATCTGTTAGAAGTGGTGGGACCATCTTTAGATGAAGCTGGAGAGACAAGCTAGAGCTGATGTGGTTGTTGGTGAGCCCAGGGAGCAGGATTCAGTGATGCTTGAAATCAGAGCGAACTGGAAGAACTGTTGAGTTCATTTTTGTTGCTATAACAGGCTCTCAGATATCCACAGGGAAAGAATTAAAACCAAGGCTCATTTTGTCCTGCCTCCCACCTTCTGAGGCACCTGTCTCATGTCTGTGGTGAGAATACGTGTGATGCAAACTTATCTGAACAGCTGTATGAACAGGTGAGGCTTGGTGGGGGGGCGGGGGTGGACTCCAGCCCCACTGTTCGGGGAGTTGGGCTAGTGAGCATCTTTGAGCTTTGGTGTATCCCCCATTAAACAAGAGTGATTAAATAAAGAGTTGCTAACCTCCTAAGAAGGGCCTTCTCTGCCTTCAGCATGCTAAGAGGTCAAAGCACTCAGCATAGAGCTGGCAGAAAATAGGGGTCAAATAGACATTAGTTCTCTCCGTCCCTCGCCCCACAACCATCGCCAGGACGATATAGTAATATGAGAAATCGGTTACCTAAAGACAAAGAGGGACCAAAGAGAAGGTCAGCTGCATCCTCACCAGTCACTTCCATCCAGCTACCTGATTTTGTAAATAAAGTTTTATTGGAACACAGCCATGTCCACTCATTTACATATTTATGGCTGCTTTTGTGCTCTGATGATGGCAGAGTTGAGTGGTTTCCGAAGAGATCACATGGCCTGGCAAAGCCTAAAACATTTCCTATCTGGCCAGAATAGAAAAAATAAGCCACCGTTGGTCCAAAATATTTCCCCTGCTCAATACCCTTTAATTTTCCGCGCGTTTGAGGGACGTTCCTATTAGCCTCAGCTAACGTGTGTCCCCAGCTAACTGGGGCTTCCCAGAGGACTCAGTCGTAAAGCTTCCACCAGCCAGTGTTAGAGCCACTGGAGACATGGGTTCCATCCCCGAGTCAGGAAGATCCCCTGCAGGGGGAAGTGGCAATCCAGGATTCTTGCTGGGATAATCCCACGGACAGAGGAGCCTGGCGAGCTACAGGCCAGGAAGTCACAAAGAGTCGGAAGCGACTGAGCATGCCTGAGGGCTAATTGTATTTCAGCTCCACCTTTTGAGTGTGCTGCGAGCCAGCGTCATCCCCATTTCATGGATGGGGAAACGGACAGGTAGAGAGCACGCATGCAAGTTCCCTTCTCCTCTCCACAGGTCAGTTTTCTCATCCATGAAATGGGGGTGTCGCTAGCTCGTACATTATAAGGTTGAGAAGACTGACTGAGATGACCGACGTAAAGCTCTTAGCCCAGGTCTAGCGCTGACTCATGAGTGCCCAGTGAATGGAAGCAGCTGAAGGCAGAGCTCCCCGTGGTGAAGCTCCAAGCCCTCTTGGGCCCCCTTTGGTGGGGGTGATGCAGTCTGTCACCAGAATGTTTTCCCAGTAGAGCCTCAGTGGCCTCTTTGGGGTTCAAGGCCACCAGCTCCATCTCTGGTGCTGAGGGCTGACTGGCCAAGCTAACCTTCCAGAGCCAGGTTTAGACATGATGGGGTCCAGAGCTGGCCGGGTAGGGATAACTGCAGAGACCCAGGACATCTGTACCCGAGAATGGGGCCCGGGCCCAGCCTCATGATACAAGACAAATTGGAGGAAATCTGAAGAGGGTGCTGAGTCTGAGCGGGCCCTCCAGTGCCCTTCACAGAGGAGGCACTGGACATGTTGGCCGGGCCGGACCCACGCGTCCAGGGCACCTGGCTCCCCTCTGCTGCTCTTCCCAGGGCCCCCCGCCCCCTGTCTCAGTGTGGGCTGAGCTTTAGCCCCGAAAGCAGCACTTTCGTCACAGGGCAGAGGAGAGACTAGCAAAGTAAGGGGCCCCTAGCTTGGGGAGCGCGGCTCAGCACTGAGATTAAAGGATAAGGAGGTTCTGGGTGCTGTCTGGGCCCAGAAACGTCGGCGGGGAGGAGGGGAGGAAGGGGAGAGCCTGAGCCGCTGCTGTGGGCAGCCAGACCAAAGCTGGCCGTGTCCCTGCCCTCCTCTGAGAGGTCCCCAGCTTCCGCCCCATCCCTCAGGGTGGACAGTCGGGTGGGGCGTGATGGATCGAGGCAACTTTGGAGACCCGTCCGGAGGTTCCCACCAAAGGTGTGAAGACAGATGGGGGGTCTGACGGGCAGAGGGGACCAGCAGGTGAGCAGCTGCTGGAGGGCGGGGCAGGCTGGGTGCGCTTCCGGGTGTGGACCCCACCGGGGTCACGCTGCAAACGCTTCCTGAAGGTGCGAGGGGCTGTGTCGGGGTCTTAGGTGGACGTTCTGGCTTTTCTGAGCTCTGATTCTCCGTGCACGTCCTCCGCTGTTTGAGTGTCTTCACACTTCCAGCCCATCTGTGTGGTCCTGGGAGCGGGAGGCTGGGAGTTCTCCACCAAGACAGGCACATCGTGCTGTCTCGTGTTCCCATCAGGAGGGGTTTCTCTGTAGCTGCCCCCAAGCGATGGGGAGAGGACGGAGCCCACCTGGGCCGTGGGGGCATGCTCCCCCATCCGGGACCACAGGTCCGCTGTCCCCCAAGAGAGCCTCGGCTCCTGTGCTTACAAAGCCCGAAGAAATGAGGCTGGGCCTGCTGGGCGCCTGCTCGCCACGCCAGCTGGCTGCCTGGGGCGGGCCCGCCTGCTCCCCGGGGCAGGGACCGGATACTGGCCCTGGACACAGCCTGGGCAGTGGGCACCTCAAGCCTCAGAGATCCCACGGAGAGTCTTCCCAGCAGAACCTCACGGCAGAAGTCATGTGCCCACCTCAGCTCTATGCCTGTCCCCTGACTCTGATGCAACACCTGGTCACAGAGTGCCTGCCACATGCCAGGCACTGTTCTCAGCGCTTGGGGTAACTCAGTGAACATAAGGGATGGACCTCTCTACTCTAGCGGGGCTGGCAGTGCAACCGAACAGACAGGCAAGAAGCCTCAGCAAACAGCACAGCAGGCAGCGTGTCTAATGCCAACACGTTGAATACATTCAGCGGGGAGAGCTAAACTTCCTGAGGCCCTGTGGCGTTCCCTCGGTACTGATCTTCTCCAGGGACAGAGCCTGGGTTCAACCCTCATTTCTAGAGCCTGAGATCGACCCACCCACGTGCCCTCCTGCCTCGCAGAAACGCACACCCTTGTTCTCTTTTTGAAACTGATGGGCAGTGAGGGGAAACCATCTCAGTCCATCCAGCTCAGCGGAGAGAAAAGCTCCTTCAGCCCATGTCGTGCATGAGAACACTGAGGCTGGGACCTCAGGCTAGGGGCCAACAGGCGGGGCTGAGTCATATGGGCAAGAGCCTGCTGAGAGGCGTAGATGACCCTGAGGCTTGGTTCCCTCGGGGCCCAGGCCCTCACCCACCCACAGAGCCCAGCCTGGCAGCATTCGGGAGTCAGCCGGTTAAAGCCCTGGCTTTGCTTGGAAGCAGCTCTTAGAAACCAGCTGAGGATAGCTTAGGACCAAAGGACCCTTCGTTGACACCCCTTCGGGTGACGCCATTCCTGCAGCTGGAGCAGTTCATTCCAGCCCTTGCATCGGAGTTGTGAGCGGCACACACTTTCAAGGGTGACAGGCAGAGAGACAGAGGCCACTCGGGTCTTTGGATCCCCCAGTGCGATGAGGGAGACACAGCCCCTGCCCTGAGGAGCAACTCGGGAGCCAGATCCCAGAGTCTGATGGAAGAGAGGCCCCTTGTCTGTAGATGCCCCAGTCTGGTGCTGGAAATACCCACAGCTGTGTCTTGGAGAGCTCCTAGTGTGACGGGGGAAACAGGCCACGGAATCATAATCAGTGCTGACCTATCCGAGCTTCTGAGCAAAGAATCAGGAGCGAGGATCTGCTAGTTTGAGGGTCACGAGGACTGGAGGCCACGGGCAAACTGCCCCGTCCTGGGGCTTCTGCAGGGCCTGTGCTGCCATGTCCTGGGGGAGCAGCCCGCAGCTGGGGCTGCCTTCGTCTCCAGGCTTTCTTAGAGGTAGCTTCTCATCCGAGTTGGAAGTGGAAACTGAGGCCCAGAGAGCGGGAGAAAATGGCCCAGATCGCAGCGTCAGGGTCGCGGCCGAGCTGGGACGCGGGGCCCATGGCCCCTGCAGTGGGCGCCTTCCCGGGAAGCAGGCGTTTCTGCCACCATGCCGCCTCCTGTTCCATCACGCCGCCCCGGGCGTCATCCCCTTTGGCTCCTCTCCGGAGCTTAACGTGGAGGAACCTGTAAAGGGATTTACATATTTACAATCTCCCCCCCAACGGAACGAACGAAAAGTGAAAAGTAGTCTCT